CGGCATGCCCCCGGAGGAACTGGAGGAAGTGTCTGGAGAGAGAGAAGTCTGGGCATCTTTGCTTAGACTGCTGGCCCCGTGACCCGGTCCCGGATAAGCGGAGGAAAATGGATGGATGGAAATGCAAGTTTAAAAACTCTGTCATTCATAGCAACCATACAGATGGAAGACAAAACACCAACTCTGAGCCATATTTATTAATTGTGACCTTTCACAGCATGTTTGCTTTCACAGGCTTCAGTTCCTCTTGGTCTGTAATTTGATGTTATGATTCAGTACATGAGGTCAGCACCATTTGATTGGCATTTTATGCATGATTTTGGCAGCCAGATGAAAGGGAAAGACAGAGGCCTGGAACAGGGCAGTGTAATCCAAGTACTCCCAGAGGGAACTGGACTCGTATTGGTGAACAAGTTATCTGATGAAGAATGGTACAATATCTCATGCAACAGTCAGCATACAACACGCCAGTTCACAGAACAAGTGCTCAAACATAATAACACAGATGTCCCCGGACCATTTCAGACTTATCCTGAAAATTTCATCAAAATCCATTCATACCTTTTTGAGTTATGTTGCTAACTAACTAACTGTAAAACCTCTGCATTACTGCTTTTGATAGGGGTCATTTTTATTTTTACACTGTAGATGCTGCCTATTGGCTGTATGGGAGTAGACACAGAGACACTGAGACACAGAGAGATACTGTGAGACCATTCAGTAGCACCGTCTGTAACCATAACAGCTACATCATCTCCACAACAGAGAGGAGAATGGGGTGTCATGATGTACATGGTCTGACTCCTGCTTTCTGTCTTGCTATCAGCAGCTGTGTGTTTCTGCACACACTGCAAAATAAAGATCTCCTCGTGTGTTCTGGCTTCCCATCTCTCTCTGATGTGTGACATGAAAACGTTACAGTCGCCGTGGGGGAGATGTGCGCTGTCACAACGGGAAATCTCGTGATTCCCACCGTTTTAGTCAAAACAACCAGTAGGAGAAAGGAGGAGTGGATGGTGGAGCAATGGAGGGCTGCAGGGAACATTCAAGTACAATAAAGTATAGTATAGGGTATAGTTTGTGTACCAGTGGAAATTTTAGTACACAAACAGAATATGACAATGTAAACAGACAAAAGTACCAGACAACAATATTTTTTAAATTAAATTTCACAGGAAATTTGAGGGCGCTAAACAAAATCATGTATCCTTACAGATCTAATGGCATTTTTTCTGAGAACCAGCTATTGTGTCAAATAGGTGGAAACAGATTAACTGTTTTCCAAATGTATAACCTTTTTTTTAACAATGTTACAACCCAAACATGTTTCTTTGAATGTATAGGACATTTTGTTTTTGAATGTTGTCGGTACTGGATAGGTCAGAGTAGAGATACAGATGTGAAATGGAGAAGGAGAGAGACGGGGTTATAGCATGTAACTAAGATCCCTGGCTGGAATTTAACTAGGGATGTTGTGATAGCAGTGTGTGGCATACATCCTAACCACCAGGCCATCCCATACAGGACAGCTGCACAAGGGCAGACTCCAGGCTTAAACCACTAGATACCACATGTGTCAGCTTGTCAGAAATCTGACTTGAGAATTCTTAGTGGCTACAGTGTTGGAAAACTACAGTAATGTAGTTAGCAGTGCACAACTCTGCGCTTGTTTGAGCTGCACAGGAGCAATCTGGGTCAGTCAGGTTGTGTTCCTCTGTGTGTCAGTTTTGGCCTGAGGTGTACTGTCTGACAGCAGGACTGATTTATTGAACTCTATTACCATCATTCTTAACCCCAACAGTAATTACAACGACAAGCTTGCAGTGAGCACCAAACTGCTTTGACAACTTTATGATAATATGATGATGATGATGAAGTTCTGTGTGTGGGTGTGTAGAGGTGTGTATAGGGACTAAGCAAAGACTGACAACTCTGCTCCGCTCTCCCACTGATATGATGACTTGACCTCAGACCCTCCAGCACCAAAGCTGGAGAGATTAAAACGCAAAGAATCACCAGAAGATAAGCAGAACTGACGTAGACATTTCGGCTGCACATGATGAGTAAAATGCTCAAAACATGTTAGTGATAATCACTTTTATTGGCCAAGTATGTTACACACACAAGGAATTTGTCTCCAGTACAAAACTGAGGCAGCCATCTGCAGCACCAACTCACCACACACACACACACACACACACACACACACACACACTGATGGCGCTGTCCCTGCAAGGCGTTGCTCTGGCCATCAGAGGCAATGTGGAATACAGTGTCCTGCCCAAGGACACTTTGACATGTGGACCAGGGTTAGGTATTAGGGTTAGGGAATCGACCCGCTGACCGCTCTACCTCCTGAGCCACAGCCACCCATGTCATCATTCACATGGACACACCATTATGTATGTGAATAGTAACCAGGCTGTGTTAGGACACAGATCTTGGATGTTGGAGCATCGACGTTGAGATAAGAAGGGATATTTACATTACTGGGTAGCAAATGTCAGCCTCCTCTGGTAATACATTCAACACAGACACACATAGCTGGGATGCGGTTTTGCAGGTCACCTTGTAGACAAAGGGATCTTTCTCCACAGCTTTTGTCTATTCTATCACATCAATAGACAGCATCACTTCGTCTCATTGAGTAAATATGGGAGGAATACATTTGGCTTTTGAAGTGTTATTTGCTATCTGTGACACTTTGTCAGGAGCTAAGACTGAATTTGTCCACTAGTGCCACTGGACGGCACAGTGAAGTACATTTTAGCTTGCATTACCAACATTTTGTATGATATTTGCTAATTTATGACTTGTTATGTGACCTTTTATTTGATGGTGCTACAGCCTAAAAACATAACTTAAATAACTGTAGAGACATGATGTGTAACTGAAGATGAAAGTAATTGTTAGCAAGTTAAATGTTTATTCTGCTGCCCTGCAGCTTTGGTTGAGTACTGTTGAGCATGAAGAAGTGAAAGTGTGGGAAGTGGTAATTTGGGGACAAAAAGTTGCATTCGGCCATTTTATGAAATTTTTTTTGTCACTAAGCAGTACAAAACACGTCTGAGCTGGTTAATCTCCCGATAGCATTTTTAGGTTGTTACTGCCCCAGGGAAGTGAGTGACCCTTGATATATGTTGTTAATTTTATTAATTTATCATAGTCTGTTAGCACTTTTGAAACAAATTAGTTTCAGAATAGATCCAGTTAATGTGACTGTCACAGCTCAGGATGCAATCTACTGTCTTCGTGGTGCATGAATAAGGTCTTTAATAAATAATAATAAATAATAATAAATCTTGTTTATTTGTTTTAGAAATGTATATATTTGTCAGAGGTGTAAAGTAAGTATTGTTTTGAGGTACTTTGATTGAGTATTTCTATTCTCTGCTACTGTATACTTCTACTCCACTACATTTGAGAGAGAAATTAACTTTTTAGTTCACTATATTCATATGACAGCAATTTTTCTAATAACGTACCAAATTAAGATTTCACATAAAAACATGGTAAGATAAAATACAGTACATTGTTTATATTTAAGCATTTCTGCTTTTGTTTCTCATGTTTTGCTTGGTTGTTTGTAGACCCAACAGAGATATGTTTCCCTTCTAATGGCTTCATTTAATAACTGTCTGATACCCAAGTGATAAAACTCCATGGCACAAAAAGGCAAAGATTAGAGAAATGTTCAAAAAACAGAAACAGATTTAAGTATCAGAACATTGATTTTTCTTATCTTTTTTTTCTCCCATCATCTTACAAACCCCACAGATTTGTCTTGTAACTCTTAGAGGCACCTGACCCCTACTGTCAGCTGGAAAATACTACAACAATGAGTTAAAACTACCCAGCTACAATAGTTTTTGAGTCGGTTTTGCTAATACTTATAATATTTCATTAGAATGCAGACTTAACAAGCTACTTTTACTTTTTTAGGATCAGTGGTGATTCTACCACCACTGTATTTTGTATGTACAAATGCCCATGCTTCACTTATGATAAGTAATTAGATCTTTTATCAGAACACTTGGTTGTGTACACACTGTAACTGTGCTTCTCTCATCCTTGGTTTTGTGGTGCAGCACAAACAAAAAAACAACATGATTTAGTATAACAAAAATGTATTTGTTTCTTTTGGGAGGGAATTTTTTACATCCATCCATCCATTATCTATACTGCTTATTCCTGAACAGGGCCATGGGGGGGCCAAGCCAATCCCATCTGACATTGGGTACACCCTGGACAGGTTGCCAGTCTATCATAGGGTTCACATGTAGATAAACATGTACACTCACTCCTACAGGCATATTAGAGTCACCAGTCAAGATAAGATGCATGTCTTTGGACTGTGGAAGTCAGAGTACCCAGAGAGAAACCACACTAGGAGAACATGCAGACTGCACACAGAAAGGCCCCGGGGCAGCCGGGGCTCAACCCAGAAACTTCTTGCTGTGAGGCGACAGTGCTAACCACTGTGCCGCCCTTACCATAAAATAAAATACCACAGCTTATAATATAAACTTGGGATTTGTTGAATTCATCTTAGTTAACCACACTGGTCTTTGCCACTTTTTCTACCCTTTGAAGAAAACCTCCTGCTGATAAAGCTGAACATTTTATTATATGAGCAGGTTTCTCAGAAGCACATAAATGCACCACCAAGAAGAGGAGCAGGTTTCTCAGAAGCACATGAATGCACCACCAAGAAGAGGAGCAGGTTCAGCCGTCTTAGGGTGAATAGGAGCTCAGCCTGACACTTAATTCAGTTCCAAACACGTCCAGCAGGGGTCCTCGGTGAGTCTCAGTGCTCGATAATAACACGCACATGCGCAGACCAGCTCTGAGCCGGTCGACACCGACAGTGACGTAAAAAATGGCGTCCTCCGCAGCCTGGCTGACTACACGCTGGTTAGCATTACCAGTTTGTTTTGGACACCGTAGCGGCTGTTTTCTTGTTGTCACCTCAAGGCATACAAGAGTGTGTTCACCGACGATATCGCAGACACGTCGGTGTTCGGTAACGGTTAGTTTGAGCTCCTGGAGACATGGAAATGCCGTGACATTGAGAGGACTGACAGGTGAGATAGCTAAAATTTAGCATAACATTCAAAGACTTTGTAACTGTTATATCGGTACTAACGTTAGACCTCTATAGTTTTTTGCAATGCTAGTAGTCTGTTTAAATGTTCAGGCTCCAGGTGTCCAGGCTTTGTAATGTGAAAATCTTAGCTTTAGAGCTAATGGTTAGCATAGTCCCCCCAAGGCTGGGTAGCCTTACTGTAGGAATGATGCAACTGCTGGCTGTTACTGTTTTGCAGTGTTATTACATCAGAAACAAAGTGGGCCACAAGGCCTTGGTCTCAGCGTAATTTGGTTTTCTATGGTCATGTCGCTACTGCTGCCACAACAGACTGACAGACCATATTGCCAGTGGAGTTAAATTTTAGATGGGAGCTTTGCAGAATGTTCAAGATTTGTACACCTTGATGCATTACTGCTGTGAAGTCCCATACAAAATGGAGCCATTCTTCACAATAACTACTTTTGCTTTTCATACTTGGCACAGGTTTTTGCTGCTGTTTTAATTTGCAAACTGTAATATATTTTTGCGTTGTGACATCTGTGTTAAATGGAGTAGTATTCACTTTTAGTAAAGTAAATCATTTGGGTCATGTTTCCGTTTTAGTGCATGTGCAAAAGCTTTTGGCACTAAAGTAAAGTGAGTGTGTGTTCGATAACAATGGTATGAATATTTTTTTAATTAGCAAATAACATTATACGGTTGCCTTTTAAAACAGCATCAATTCCCCTGAAGGTGTCCTTTTTGACTCAGGATGTTTGTTTGGGCTCATTGTCATACAACAGAAAGAATTTCACTTGACGTAATGTGTGATAGTCTAAACAATTAAAGTTTTAGTGTATACAGTCATGCTGCATTGGGTAAACACCGGTACACGTGCAGTTCATATACATTCTTTATGACTAGGCTATTATATTAGTTTAATGATATTTCTAGTAAATGTGAGTGTTGTGAATCCACAGGTCTTCCTAAATTTACCTTTGCTGTTGAGATTCAGGAAGTGCACAAAACAGTTTCCAGGAGTTTGACAGGAATACACTTAGGAACCTGGATGTCATTTTGTGTGACTTTCTGACATGTATTCATAGCTGATGCACCAAGGGCCCAAATTAAATAGTTTTGGACCTTGATGATTCACAGCTACATTTAACAGGCGCCTTCTTTACTCTGTCTTTTCTTGGGGCTGTGCAACAAAACAGGCTCTGCCGTTAAAGTATTGCAGATACCATCAGCCTCTGATTGTAGTCCTCCTGATTTTAAGAAGTGCTTTTTGTGTCCTTTCCTCTGCAGGGTCAAGATGTCCCAGTGTCACTACCTGCCACTCTCTCCACACCAGCAGCAGATTGGCAAACAAGCAGGACTTCTATGAAGTTTTGGGTGTCTCTCGCACTGCTTCACAGAGGGACATCAAAAAGGCTTACTACCAGGTCAGAGACATTTTTAATGAGACCAAGATTGAAATAGTTTACTAAGTTCATCATTATTCGGTTTAAAAACAGATGAGACGTGGCTAAGAAGAATTATTTGTACATCATGAACAAACAACAGGATCACGAGCCCGAGATTGGAAAGAGGTTGACTCTGATGCTCTCTCGTGCTCGCTCACATCTTTTCTCTCATTTTTTGGTCTGTGTTCCTTTATGTCTATTTTCGTTCCTCTCCAGTTGGCTAAGAAGTACCACCCGGATGCTAACCCAGATGACCCAGAGGCCAAAGAGAAGTTTGCCAAGCTGGCTGAAGCCTATGAGGTACAAAACAAACTACATATTGTGTCATGAATTATTCAGAATTATTGTTATTCAGACCTTTTCCAAACCCTGTGTCTAGGTACTGAGTGATGAGGTGAAGAGGAAGCAGTACGACACATACGGAGCAGCAGGCTTCGACCCCAGTCGAGCAGGGGCAGGCCAGCAGCAGTACTACAGAGCTGGGGGGGCCACTATAGACCCTGAGGAGCTGTTCAGGAAGATCTTTGGAGAGTTTACTGGAGGAATGGGCTTTGGCAACATGTTTGAACAAAGGCCTGAGGTCAGGACCCGCAGCTTGATGTTTACGTTTTTTATTTTGCCATTTAAATCTTTTTTGTTATTTCCGTAATAATCGGTTATAAATACTGCACATGCATTAAATGTAACGGATCATTGATGTGTGAATGTCAGTGGTTTAGTTGTAATGTCATACATACATTTCCTCTGTCTTTCCATAGTTTGTCATGGAGCTTACATTTGCGGAGGCAGCGAAGGGCGCGAATAAGGAGCTGAGTGTGAACATTGAGGACGCCTGCCCGAGGTGTAATGGGAAGGGCAACGAGCCGGGCACCAAGATGCCAGTTTGTCACTACTGCAACGGCACTGGCATTGTGAGTCTCAGAGCAAGATGTGTCTGCTGGCCTGTAACTGTGGAGCTGTGTTTAAGCACTTCAGGCTTTTATTTTTAGTCTGGTTGAAGTCCCTCTCAGGACTTTACACAGTGTGCTATCAGTCAGTCAGTGTTTTGTCTCCTGCAGGAGTCAGTCAGCACGGGGCCTTTCATGATGCGTGGCACCTGTCGACGCTGCAATGGGAAGGGATCCATTATAATCACACCCTGCCTTCTCTGCCGAGGTTCAGGCCAGACCAAGAAGAGGCAGACAGTCACTGTACCTGTACCTGCTGGTAGGTTTTCATCCTGGAACCTCACAAGTAAAACATATCCACAGATAAGAAAAATGCATATATTCTCACAATCACAATGTATTTCATCTTGAGCCAAACTGCTTTGAGTGCTGTTGCCTCTGATTTGGATGATCTTGTGTTCACAAATACACTGAGCTAAAATCGTCATTTCTGTTGTATGTTCTCACAGGAGTGGATAATGGTCAGACAGTATGCATGTCAGTAGGGCAAAAAGAAATTCTCATCACATTCAGAGTGAGTTTTGTTTGTTTTCAAGCATTTAAGAAGTTATGGAAATCGAGCGCTGTATTGGAGTAGTGTTAGAGTTTGATGTTACATCATTTTGGTGTGTTATATCTGAACAGGTCCAGAGCAGCCCAGTGTTCAGGAGGAGCGGAGCAGACATCCACTCAGACGTGTTCATCTCTGTAGCTCAGGCCATCCTGGGAGGCACAGCCACAACACAGGGCTTGTACGAGTCCATCAGCATAATGGTGTGTAGGAATCGGTGCTGCGCTACATACACTCTATATAATATACATACAACATCACCCTCGATTCACTTTCAGAACAATATTGATGATTGGAGCCCTATTTAGAATGCATTTGCAACTGGTACTTGATTACTTAATGTCCAAGTTACATACATGCTAAGTGTGATTTTTGACATTGTTTTTATGTGTGTTTCTCTGTAATAATGTGGTGTTCCAATTCACCGCTGAATGACAGCTCGTATCGTGTCTACCAGACACTTGCTAGTCTCTCTGTTGTCTGTGCTCTGTTTCAAGAATCGACATTCATCCATCCGTCCACATACTCTTCTGACTAGGATGTACACAGAAAAAATGAAATACTGTTTCTCACCAGCTGATAGTAGTGCATCGCATGTTTCTAATAAATATATAATCTAGTGCTAAAATCCAAACTAAAAATAATAAACAATAAAAGCATACAACAGTTAAACAGCGTGTTCACAATTACATTAAAGTGCTATATATTGTTCAGGACTGTTCTTGTAAGCAGCATGTTCACAAAAGGCAAACAGGCTGTGAGAAGGGTGGTGAGGGTTTTTAATGATGGCTGTAGTGCTGCGAATGCAGCGTTTCTGGTAGATCTCCATCAGGAAGGGGAGAGGGCCGCCAACGATCCTGCTGGCTGTCTTCAGTTTTCTGTTTCAAAGTTAGTTGTCTGTGTTTGCAGATTCCCCCCAGTTGCCAAGCGGATCAGGTGATCCGGCTGCAGGGGAAAGGCATTCGAAGGATGAACAGCTACAGCTACGGTGATCACTATGTTAACATCAAGATCCGAGTACCCAAGTGAGACACAGACACACACACACACACACACACACATCCATGGTCAATTACAGGATCCGGACATTGTGGGATCCAGCCTCCGGTCCCCAAAAGTGACTTCTGGTCCCCACAAAGTAGCGTGCTCCCAGTTTTTCATCCCCACATGTATATGTAAACAAGGCCACACACACTTTCTTAATGTAGAGTATCTTCAGGTAAATACATTAGTTAATCATAGTTGTCCTAGATTAATATCTGTGCATCAACTAATTTATGATTTATTCATTTTAGTTATTTTTTTTATTACATGTTGCTCACTTGAGTGTTAGTAGGACCCACAGAACCCTAGTTTCTTATGCAGAACGTGAAGCTGCCACAAACATTTAATATGTTATCAAGATCTGTAGAATGGTGTAGTCATAAGAAAAAGGTTTCTCAAGATTTGTATTAATTTGTGTCCCCGGTGTGTCTTTCCTGCAGGAAGCTGACTCGTAGGCAGCGCTCTCTGTTGCTGAGTTATGCTGAAGAGGAGACAGATGTGCAGGGGACAGTCATCGGTGTCAGTCCATCTGCAGGTCAGATCTAGAGTTCAACTCCATTCAGTCAAAACATCACTCCACCTAGTAGGGGTGCAACAACCCATCGTTCTGAATCAACACATCAACCAAATAATCAGCAACCTGATGTAGACATTGATGTAAGACAGCGTTATTTTGACAGTCTCATGTTTGTCAGCCACATCTATATGCATAAGAAGCAGTGACATAGAACTCTGACTGTGAATTCATGCTAAAGTTGGTTCAGTCCACATCGACTCTGACCTCCACGCAGTGTCTCTGTCTGTTTGCTGCTCTTCATGAGTTAAAAACCAGCAACCAGGCAACATGAAAGTAATGTTGTTTGTATGATTCTTCTGAGAGTTCCCTTCACCAAATGTGACAGAGAGGAAAAAAATAAAATAAACCCATGTGTCTCAGTCAGTGCCCTCACCTGATGTAGTATGTGTCTGTGTCCAGGAGGGGGCAGCAGCACTTCAGGCTCTGCTGCGAAGACAACCAGCTCAGAGGAAGGACAAGACAAACAGGAGGAGCAGAAGGACGAGGGAGGCTTCTTCTCTAAACTAAAAAAAATGTTTAGCTGACACTGAGGCTGCAGGTGAGAGCTTCAGTTATCTCACATCTTCCCTGATAGATCTGTGGTTTTGAGTTAAATTTTAAATATCATGCTGTCTGCAGTGTGACTGTGGTAGACATTTTGCACCACAGTTCTCTATTTCTATTTTGAACAGTTTTACTTATTTATTTTTAACCAATTTCTTTACCTTTACAGGTAAAGAAATAAAAGAAGAGCAGGCCACTGACCATGCTGTCTCCTCCTGGTTTGGGGTCTGAGCGAGGCAGAGTGGTATTTGTGTTGGCGCAGTCACACACTGTTGAAGCTGCGGTTGGCAAATAGGCCACCTACATGCCACCAGCCGGTCACCACAGATGGGTGCTCGGACTGAGAACCTCCAAAACTGCTGGAAGAGAAACACGATGGCGACTATAGAGAGGAATTGTAGTGTAACTGTCCTCCCTGCTTGTTGCGCGTCAAACCGCGCTGTTCACTAAGTCACGTAGTGCTCGTCTGACAGTAACTATAAAATACAGCCAAGTAAGAAGAGCAAATAAAGTAATACACACAGGTTAAAAGAGTAATTAAGACAATTACAATGGGTAACTGGATGAAAAGCAATAAATTGTACTGTTTTAGGAACTAAATTATAACATGACAGTTGTATTATCATTCTCTGTATCCCACCACTGTACATTCTTAGGAGAATTGCTAAAAAGTGCTGTGTAATTTGGTACTGTGATTACAGCAAATGCAAACAGCGTTCAAGTTTTACATGTTTGAATAATTAATCATTTTTTAGTGTAATCTTGAAATTAGTGCACAACAGATCATCTGAACATGGAGCAATGTGAAGTGTGTCTACAGGGTGTAGAGAATACAGTCATCAGTACAATAAATGAATATTTAACCTCTGGCTGTTATTTTTAAGATTTTATTGGTTCTTTCAGAGAAATGCCTGTAAACCAACAACTGGTGTGTATAACTATAAATCATTTACTCTTTCTACTGTTTACTAAATTTTAGAATTTACTTTATTACAATCTAGAAAAATTAGGCTATTACTCTGTGCATTGTCTCTGAACATTATCTCCCAACAGTAAAGGCATTCGTATTCACTAAAATCCGGCACCGAGCAGCTTCCGTGTTCAGACAGCAGCCCTCTGACTGACGTCTCCAGCCAACCGCTCTGTCTGAACAGAAGCATTTGTGAGGGTCAGCGGGAACATATACATCAGACCGGGCTTTTCCAACTGTACTCAAGATGGTCGGTCTTTGTAAACAGGACTTGTGGTACCTCCTAAGGGAGGTTTATGATATAATACAAAGTCACAGTGACACAGAGCAGGCTTGTGGCTGTGGATGTGTTTTGCATGCATTGCTAACCACAAGACCTCACTGTCTGCATTTTTGTTCTCTTGAACATGGTTCTTAAAAGCTACAAAGGGATGTAGTTGAGCACTGTAAGCCATTGTTGTCAAATATATCAAATGTTTTTTTAATTTGTCCTCTCATTCTGTTGCCAAGTAGTAAATGCAGAAAGGCTGGTCTTGGTTGCACCAGTACAGAGACAGATACATTAACAAGACAGAGCAGACTGTAATCATACTAAACTGCTCTTGAAATTAGGGGTTTTTAATGGTCCATCATTTTTGTTATTTGCAGGTCCTATTGACTGGATGTAACATGTACAATACACCACATGTATCTGTATTTAATCAACAGATAACATCAGATTCAGCTCTTAAGAGCCCAAGTCATTACTGGTCCTCATGCCACCCTTTGTTGAACAAGAATCAATAACTGAAAACGTATGGGGTAATCAGTGTTACACACCAGATCAGGTAAATGGCTGCGGTGCCAAAAGTCATACTTGGGCTTGAAAGTAATCCAGGAGTAAAAGTAAACGAGGGAGCCTTCTTCTCCTCTCCGTACTGAGAGGCTCCTGATCTTTGACTGTTCAGTGCCAGAAGTGCTTCATAATGAGACAAACCTATATAAATAAATGTTTAAAAACATAATACAACATTACATTTAGTAAGTGGATTTAAAGTTAAGGCACTGTGAGCCTCCTCCTCTTTCTAAGATTTGGGATGGTATAAATCAAAACCATTCCCAGTCATTATGACGCCACAGTAATTATAAATGACTCCTCACTCATTACATTATGTCACAATGAGTAGGTTGTTATGTTTCGTTTTACTGATCTTTCTAAATCCTTTCAGGGTGAAAAACCATGTCATTTTCTTCATATCAGATTAATATGAAGGGATATGTTTATTCAAATGGTGTCGTTCACCAAGAGATACCCATATGAGTTTACAAGATGCTTCTTGGGTCATACACAAGGAAATCAAAAAGCACACAAATAGATTAAAACAATCATGCTACTAGAATATCCAAACTGGTCATGTACAGTATATAGTGTAGCATAAATAAACTTAAGCATATGAAACTTTGAACAAGCTTTATTGAAGTGAAACACTAAGGACTGTTTGAGGCCTGTTGTCTTTGCAGAACAGCTTGCAACATTCTGCAGCACTTCTCTCCAAGGCCATAACAACAGATCCCCTCCCTTGCTCTACAACTAACATGGTTCAGTTTGAGTCCCTGTGCTACAAAGCCAATCGGATGCTCTCACTTCCTGCTTGGCAGTTTGGATCACCATGGCTTGAAGCCATGACCAGCAGGTAATAAGGATGGGAGCTCATGCAAACAGTAAATGAAGCCAGATTGAATGTGTATCTGTGTGACACACATAGTTAAACCTTTAGCAATGTGAATCATGATGGTATGCACAGTGAAATGTTTCCTAATGACTGCTCCGTAGATCAGTTTAGGATGCTAAGCTCCATGTGTTCACTATGTAAACTAACTTAGCCTCAAGATACATAATGCAAAGAAGAGAATGGTGGTTAGCTTAACTACACAACTAGAGCTACAGCAGCTCCATATTGCCAGCTGGTGTGTGATGATTTACACAGTCAGAAGGTTTTTGGTAGGCTGTAAAGCAACTAAAGCATGTTCACAAACACCCTGCGCTGCACTCTGACAAAATCACAGATGATTTTTAGAACCTTCTGGAGCAGCTGAAGATCTTTCCAAATCAATTTGGACAGTGTCAAAGACTGGAGCTAAACAGCTTTCACCCAACAGCTTGGTATTCAACGCCTCATACATTAAGTTAAATAGGGAGCAGACAAACAGCAAAGTCCTTTACAACATGATTAAGTGGCAGACTATGTCCCAGACAGCCAGACTACCGAAGTCAATTAAAGGCAATTAAAGCTTTGACAGAATGACCAGCTTAAACATTTTTGACCTTGTTCAGCCATTAAGGCAAAAACCTATACGGCCCCTCAGCTATACAAACAGATAAAAGCTCCTGTCTGCCAGTCATGTGTGACTGGCAGCTGGTTGCTGTGAGTAACTGGGAAAAGTAAGAAGGCATCATGTGGGGTGTTGGTGGAGGTTTTCACTTCAGCATTACAGTACAAATAGCCTCACAGCTTTTCACAGGGCACCACAAAAAGGTTAAAAGCAGAGTGCAGAGGGTAATTAGAGCTTTTGTGTTAGTATTGTAGGCTGATGGATAATTATAATTTGCGTGTAAGAATGCTGTCTGTGTGGGTGAAAAGACAGTGACTGAGTGCTCATTATTATAACTGGCTGTTTGTGACAGGAAGTCCTGCCTGTTAGAGAGCATGAATGTATGGAAGCCTCCCAGCTGGTGACAGCATATGACATTTAGTGCCGTCCGTGCCTGGAAGAAACCCATCCTAAGCCTGGTTTACCAGGATTGTTTTCCGATGCTGCTTTTCCACTGGGAAAAGGGTTCGTTTTATGTGGGGAGCACTAAGCCTGGGAATTGTCTGCTCAGTTCCCAGTGGGTTGACCATAAGGAGGACTCTTGAGGTTGTAGATGGGGCCTAAAGCTACTTGTCCTTGGAAAGAAGTGAGGCAAGGAATTAGATGTGGATGGGGGATAATCCTGCTAACATGTGAATCGCCCACAAACCAGAACAACAGCTCATGTGAGTTTTTATTTGGATGTACAAAACAAAAATCATGGTGACTAAATCTCTTGGCGTAGCCACTGTGAGACTTGGTTCTGATTAGTGTGGGGCCTGGTTTCTGCAGAGGAAGCTGCTCTTTATCGAATGACATATTTGATGATTTAGAGGTTCAAAATGATAAAAAAAACAACACCACTATGCTTCAAACAGGGTGCTCGTTGGATGGTCGAGCAACATAAAAGTCCCACACAACTTTCAAATATTAGAACTGTTGAATGACCATTTTTGATGATTTAGAGGTTCAACATGATAAAAAAAAACACCACTATGCTTCAAACAGGATGCTCGTTGGATGGTCAAACAACATAAAAGGGCCACACAACTTTCAAATATTAGAACTGTGGGTTTTTTCTGGCACCTTTTGTAACTTTCCAAAAGTTGTACCCACTTCACACAGGAAATAGCTAAACTCTAAATACTGAGGGCAAAATGGCATCTTTTTGTCTTTTATATCTTCAGATTTTGAGATAAAGCTTTCTTTCCTACACTTTTTTTTTGGAAGTTTCCAGGAGAGAACTGTGTAGTTTAGTACTAAATAAAGACAATGTTCTGAGTGGGGTTTTATTAGTTCATGGAGTTGTTGACTTTATGCATTATTACCTTCCAGATGAATTTACATCAAAGAAATTGTTCAATTTAAAGTTCAATATTTAAAATTCATTTATCACTGGAAATGTTATTCTTCATTTATGCTGAACTGTGTGGTTGTTTGCACACAAATTTCACACTTTCCCCACGTAGCTCACCTTCTTTTCTGTGAATAAAAGTGTGTGCTAGCTTAGCATTTAGGTTCTGAGTGGGGTTTTATTAGTTCATGGAGTTGTTGACTTTATGCATTATTACCTTCCAGATGAATTTACATCAAAGAAATTGTTCAATTTAAAGTTCAATATTTAAAATTCATTTATCACTGGAAATGTTATTCTTCATTTATGCTGAATTGTGTGGTTGTTTGAACACAGATTTCACACTTTCCCCACGTAGCTCACCTTCTTTTCTGTGAATAAAAGTGTGTGCTAGCTTAGCATTTAGAAATAACTAAACATTTACCAAGTGATCTCTCTCTCTCATTCTTTTTATAATTAGTACCCAGGTATATGGTACCTTCCAGGAAATGGTTTAGGAAATAAATTGGAACTTGGAGACCTGTAAAATAAAGCATTGCTGAGTTTGGTATTGACAATTTGATAAAGATGCTTATTTGCGTTCTTACCCTGAGTTGGATAGAGATGACTTAGTTAAGCTAGAGGACTGGGAGCAGGGGGAGCAGCTCTATCTCCCACCCTCTGCTAAAACACATAACACAGTTTCTTTGTTTAATAGAAAAATGAATTGTCAAAACAACATGTTGTGGTTCTGTGCCAGAAGATTTGTTTCATTTAAGCACCCATCCGAAAACGTTCCAGTACATAAACCCTTGTAAAACCATAACCGTTTCGGACTCAGTTTTGTACAAATTCCAAAGTGTTACTTAACGAGCAGGAGGCGCCTGCTCTATATTTCTGAGTCTATTTTGCTTCGCTGTGCTAAAGCATTTCTCTCTTGCTCCCCCCCAGGGACACATAGGACGCAGCTCGATGCGTGACCACATGCCTGGTGTTGGCAGGCGTTG